AAATCCTGCTTTAAAATAGATGAGAATTAATTGGACAGGGTATCTTAGATCAGATAAACCAGGTCTGGGACCTAGGCAACTTAGTTTATCAGGACAATGGGCTAAGATAACAGCAAGTAAGGTTTTAAGAGGTTCTAGATAATAAAGTGAAAATGGAATTAAACACTGTTATATAGTCAAGAATTTAAAGTGGAAATATTTCTGGCATTTATAAGTATCTGAATGTTTAAGTTTGCAGCATAACCTTTGTCTTTCAGTACTGGATGTATGAGTATGCACATGACCCCTTCAAATTAAAATCAGTAGAAGCATAGGTTTTTTTCTGTAACTTTTAAAGAAAAATGCAGATTTATAGAGTATCATATAATTCAGGATGGCACATATATGAAAATGGGCATATGACAAGTATATGACAGATGGAAGCACTGTAAAATCTGCCTTTATCATCATTTCACAAAGTTGTGCTATGGAACTGCTTGGTTTTATTTCCTCTGCATGACACAATTTATTTAATTTCCAAGAGTCTTCTGCTACACATAGTAGTTCCTTTTTGATGAGGCAGAGAGATACAGAATTTCAGTGGAGAGAGAAGTACATGGCTCTTTATTGAGGAATTTCTTTTTTGCTCATAAGTTTTAGGCTGGTTCTGATTAAAAGAATACATTCATCCTTTATGTACAACAATTCATCTTTATAGAAGCATACACATATATGCATTTGTGTGGGGAGTAATCAAGATGCAGTGTAGGAATTAATTACCAGAAATATTCTAATTGACTATCCCAAGAAAGATAGTAAATCTTTGATTACATTTTCTACTGATGATTTAGAATACGGACTATGTATTTCATGATATATAGGATAAATCTATATTTAGGTTTGCAAGTGGTAGCTCTATTTCTAAAATTTTAAATGTGTTCTTAGATCCTTTGAGGGGGAGTTAAACAGAGATATCCTCCTCATCTGTCTTTCAAATCTAAATATTGATGAGTAGTGCTCTGAGTCTTTTCAACATGACTGTTCCTAACCCACAAAAGGTGATGGTAAAAATGCAATTCTACATCTAAAGGTAAAGAGCAGCTTTGTCACAGTCCATAAGGACCTTTAAAAAATAAGTTTTGCTATTATTTTTCAAAAACGTCAGTACTATATTCATGTACTTTTCTACTGTATAATTGAATCTTAATACAGAATATTAGATATAATTTTATTATAGTCTCAAACTTCCACTTTGACTAAGTTAGGAATACAATCTAGGACTTCAGTCTGTAGTACAGGTTATGCAGTGTAGCATACTCGTGGGAAGTATTCACATTAAATACCGATAATCCAATCTTCACCAATCAAATATTAATAGAATGATGTCTCTATCTGTACAGAAAATGACTACTTATGGCATAAATAGTAGTGTTTAGTGCCAAGTCAATGTTGATTTTTAATTTTCAACCATTCAACCATTTAAATTTTAGCACCCAACTCTTTGGGCACTGGATCTTTGTCACAATCTCTTATATTCTTATCAGAAGGATGACTTGGGGCTGATAGGGTACAAAATTAGGTCTAAAGAAAGAAGATTTTTATGAAACTTACATCACTTAAAAATGTCTCTGTATTTCTAAGTTTTTCTTTCTTCTTAAGGGTATGTTTGCCATGAGCTCTGAATTGTAAGGTTTCCACTTCAACATATTCATTGTATGTTCTTTTTAGAGTGCCTCCTGTGCTGCATCTGGGAGCGTGACTGCTTGGGAGATTTATATATCCTAGAGTCTTCTTTCACCTCCCATCATGTATGCTGCTACAAGGAAAAGCCTGCTGGGCTGCTGGCTGTAGTGACATTCTAAGTTTGCTGGCAGTAGTCACCACACACTTTCTTATTCAGGAACTGCGAAAGCCTAATTAATATGACGGGTGTTCTTAGAGTCATCCCATCCCAGAAAGAAACCTGGGGGTTTTGCCCCAGATTCTCATTTGTTCTGTGGATCTATACCCAAAATAGCAGCTTTGGATCCAAGTTCCAGGACACTGTTTGAGGATGAACCCTGCCAAAGAAAGTGCTGCCTAATGATTGTAATAACATTTTACAGAAAAGACATTACAATTTCTACACAAGTGTTCTCACTGACTCCCTGACTCTCTCACTGTGACACCTCTGTAAGACAAAGAAACTGTACACAAAATACCAGTTTTTGTTCCCAAGGTCATTCAGAGAGTTATTGCTAAAAAATGGAACATAACTCTTCGGAGGATAAAAGCCAATGCACTGACTACTACTCAAATGGTGCTGGGAGGTTATTACCTGGTCCTGGGGCACACAGTAATAGTCAGGTAGAGAGAAAGCTTAGGCTCTTATTCTTGCAACAGGGATAAAATGACCACCAAGGTGTTGATAAAAACGGTCCTCTTGAAAAGTTCAGATTTCAAAAGATTTAGATGAGATATATTGTCTTATTCAGAACTTTAATTAAAAATTGTAGAAAGTCTTTTTGTTCATTAATTGAAGATGTTCGCCTGCAAATGAGAGATTAATTTATGCTTGTTTTTAATTGTTGGATGCCACCACAATTGGTGCTGCATAAAAATACGTACAGTATATAAAATATGAATTAAAACAAGTGAATAATTATAATCACATCAGCCTAAAGGCAGGAGGCATTTTAATATCAGAGTCTAGTAATGGTGCATGAATTAAGAAGGATTAATTTTTCTGAGACAGTTCAGAAGTATTTAGCCTTTATTCTGCCCTTATTTAAAATGCCTCATATAATACATCTCAGTATTTTACATAATTTAAAGTTTCATAAGACATTTTGTTCTCACTCTATGAGATTCTTCAACATACTGAAACACTCCTAAGATCTTAGGTCTACAAATAATAATCTTCCAAACAGATCCTTTGTTCTGGGGCTTTGCATTGGTAATCAGCAGTATCAGTGCCTGTTATAGACCAGCTTCCTTCCTCATTTACGATGGTGCTCCTCTTACAGAAAGAGAAATAGATATGTAGGTAGGTGTGTATGTACAGATAAAGGCATTCTGCATTGGTCAGAACATCACACTTAACAGGCTGTTTAGCATTAAGATGTCATGGAAAAGTGCTTATATTCTCTCAAGTATTATTTAGTTCATGTGGGCAGCAAATGTACAGTGGAAAGCAGACACTGATAGACAAATCAGAGACAGGATCCTGCAATTTTGAATCTTGTTCCAGTGACTGTTCAGCTGAAGTTAACTATATATAGCTAAAAATAAGAGTATCCAAGGGCATTTCTGTGTTTGGCTCAGATGTTTGCAGGAAGCTTTGGAGCAGTGAGGCTCTTACTGGCCTGAGTGTATCAGAGCAGATTTCATAGCTATTATAGTAATGTGCTTGTGTACATATCTGGAGTTTCTTAAGCAATTCAGCAATAGAAGAAGATGTGGTGAAATTAAGAAGATTTCTAGAGGGGAAAAAAATGAGAATCCTTACCCATTGTAAAAGTTTCGCTGGAGCACAGAGGTTGTATTACCATATTAATGCCATTATTAAGGTTTTGATAAACACTTTACATATGAATATTAACATGAGATAGCCTGGATTCAAGCTATTCACAGAGCATAGAAACATTATCTTGGGTTCCTGAATGCATGTCAGCATATCCTTTGATCCTGCTTTGTAACACGTCTTCTGTTTCAGTTCTGGGTTTCTGGGTCTTTCCTCTACAGAGTCTTCCAGCTCTAACAGATTATTTCAAAGTATGTGGTAGCTTTGTGATGTGAACAAACATCTACTGGGATCAGATTCTTTAAAGTATATATGAATAGTAAATTAGGTAGATGGAGCTCTTGTTTGCCTGCAAAGTGTTTCAGTTCCCTCAGCATGTGAGCATTCGCTGTATTAGAAAGCAAATCACAATCAAAGAGCCTTACATGGGTTTTATATTTTGACCTTGGGCAAGTCACTGAGGCCCTCTGTGATTTGGTTTGAAGCTCAGATTCTTGCATGTGCAAAATGCTGATGTTCTGTGCATCAAGGTATACATCCTTTCCTCTTCTTCTTTTTTTTTTTTTCTTCTGTGTGGAAATATATGAATCCTACAGCTGACTTATTTCTTTTTAAGTTTCTAAAACTTTTTTTATTTTTTTTCTTTGCTCTTGGCCAGTGCTATACACACAAACTGCATGTGTATTTCCATGTCTATTTCCATAGACATTTTATCCCTACCTGCTACTTAACTAGCAGAAGTTCTTCAGTTTGCAGCACAGAGGTCCTGAGTTTTGCCTCTGTGCTTAAGGATAACTCTTACTGAGTTTTAATCTTGGCTGCAACAGCTTCTGTGACCCCAGAGTTCACAGTCTGCCTCTCTTCTTTGACTATGAATTCTTTTTCTCTTGTGGGAAGAACAGTACATGTTTGTTTTTTTTCTGGAAATAAATGGTATGACCTGAAAGGCTCTTTTTTACAGCCACTGTCTCACTCTTAAAACTATATCTGAGGACTTTGTGGACAGTTTTGTACCCCCTGGGGTATTAGGAGGTGATTAAACCACTGAACTACTGCCCATTTGCTGATCCCCCAAGTCTTCCACTCCAGGCCCCTACAGGATTTGCTGAGTTTAGGCAATACTTCTGCTCTTATTTATGTTTCTTTCTGCCTTCCCTTCCTCTTTCTCCCCCCACCAAGTGTTTCTAATACCAATTTAAGGTTTTTTTTTCAGAATGTGATTTTAGGAATAGAAAAATTCCCTCTCTGCTAAAAGGATAAAGACAAAGTTGTTTGCAGGCTCTACGTAGCACCACCAGTTCCAGAGCCCAGCCAGCCTTCTGTCAGACAATGACTAACATTTGAAGGAGCCAAACTTACAAAGAAGTGCCCAAAAGGAAAATAAAAATCTAATTTTCTTGTCAGCTCTGTCAGCAAAAAGCAGAAGCACAACTCCCTTGCTAGAATGTGGAGGAAAAGGTAAATAGTTTGGGCATGATAAAAGCATGAAATCACAAAGCTTGTCCCTTGTCCTTCTCAGATTTTGCCACAGAGCATTTGCAGGAATAAAAATATTCCATCTCTTACCGAAGCAATGATGCTGATTGCTTAAAGAACCTACAAGTTATGAACTCCAAACCTTGCAAAGGTGAGTAATTGTCTTTGAATATCATGTTTTCTGCATTAAAAGAGGAAAGGTAAATGCTGTTTGTTGGGAGTTTTTTGGCTGAAGTTCTGATCTTTCCCTAAAAAATTAAAGCACACTCTGAAGGGGAGTTATTGAAATTTATAAAATTATGTATAAGGTTAATCAAGAAACCTTGTTGAAAATGATACATCCTTTCCCCTCTTTGCCTGGAAAGGCTTCCTGGAATTTCTTATTTAACATCTTGACCTTTTTCACTGTCTTTTAAGCTTTCAAATATTCTTCTTTGGTTAGGGTACAGCTTTTAACATTTATTATATACTTGTCTCAGCTGTGTCAATGCACAAAGGAAATAATCCTCGATTTTTCTGGTGAGCCTTTCCCAGCTAAGACAGCAAGTTGTGTCTGGGATCAAATGTTCATACTACAACTGTCCAGACAGGCTGATTGGTGACATCATGCCTTCTCTCAGACGCTTGTTTTATATAGTCATTACTTTCTGTATTAGCTCCTTTTAATTCCTCTGCCTCTCAACACTGCTTAACTTTATGTTGACTTTTCACTTAGTTCTCTTAGCTTATTTCTGAATCCAGGGACAGATTCTATTTGAGCAAAAGTGCCTTTTTTTTTTTTTTTTTTAATTTGCTGAATGCCTTTGGAACACAGTTTTTATGGATGGAAAAAAGCAAGATGAAGAATAAATTAGAAGATGTTGTGCTCTCTTCCACCAGTGTTTTAAAAACACTGGAAGATGAACAGATATATTTGCTTATATTCAGAGATGTTTTATTTGTTTTTATTCTTTTAGTGGGCAATGTGTACTGATGTGTTTTAAAAAGCAGACAAATACACATAATCCTATGAAATAATTTTGTTGTGCATCTAGGAAAAGTTTGCTTAGTTGTTTGCTGTTTCCTGAGGTAAAGACAGGACTTTCTTTTGCTTTTTGTATTGAATGGAAAAATTATGTTAATTATTCTACCTTAAGTTGGATTGTCACTTTAAATTCACCTGCTGAATACTGTCAACTGTTGTTGGCATCTGTGTTCATGCCTGAAGATGTCCATATTCATTGCTGGATTCCTTCAGCTTAACAAAGCTCAGAATTAAATGCAACCCACAAAGCGAGCATTTATCATTCCGTGACGCATTGAGAGCTAGCGCTGGTAAATTAAAGGATTGTTTCAGGCATTAACAGTCCAGTCTGTTTATGGAACTCTGTCCATTTCTGGTGGAACTACTGCAAGAACAACAACATATTACCATCTGTGTCCTCGGCAGAGGCTTCATATCTGAATGTTTAGCATTTCAAAAATCTTACAGATGTTGATATTGCATTATTCATTTAGTTGGAGACTGCCACAGCTGTGTACTTTCCTGTATATTCTTTCAAGCAATCTGGCAGCAGACTCTAATTTGAGCAGGGCAGAGTACAGACTGCAATTTTGATGGGCATGACTCTGGTATACATAATTTGTGCCTATTTGGCAAACTTACATCCTCTGAAGAAGCAAAATGGGGTATTGTCCCTGCACTCCAACAGATTCAGGATTCCAATGACAATGTAATGGATTGAAAATGAACATGGCTTGTGGATATCTGAATGTTTTTGTGGTACTGAAATTATTTCAGAGAATCCTTTCAAATCAATATATCATCTTGTCAATCAATACATCAACTTGTCTATCAATAGATTGATGGAGTGAAAGAAGTGGAGTATCAACAAAAGCAAGAAAAATAGGGAATGGAAAGGAAGGAAAATAATACGACAAAAAAAAGAGGGAAGGATATGGAAGGAATGGAAGAGGGTGTGAAATGTACTGTATATTAAAAAACTGAAAAGAAGCAAACAAAATGGAAACACATAAAAAATGAAGAAATAATTAATTAAATGGTTAAGAAGGGAAGGAAAAACTCAAGACAGTTCATGAGAAAATATTTGGTGAGATACAGAATGAAGTTAAATACCATCTGAGTTAGCTACTTGAGAAAATATCAGATTCTAAAATATTTCTAGTGAGTAATTGGTTAAAAATACTTTGCTTTTCCTGTGGCTGCCCAGCAGGAAGAAACAGGAATTGGAATCCAAATTGCCAAACATCCAATGAACAAGATTCTTCCCCAGGAATCAGTACAAAAATCTGTTTGCTTAGTTCTACTCATAGAATCTGATATTGGAAGTTATTCAATTGCTCGAAGGCAATTTGTTTTCATACCTTGTGACTGGGAAGCTCTGCAAAGGTTCCTGAAAATACTTTGAATCCACTGCAATGATACAAAAAGTGAAAGGTGACCTTAACTCAGCAATGTCTCTCAGAAGGATGGTTGATACTTTATGAATTCTTAGGGAGTCAGATCATGACTGTTTTATTATTTTCTTTTCACTAGTTAGATCTCAGTTGTTGAAAATAACAAATTCACACATTGGATGATTCCCTTGCACAACCTGAAAGAACCTCCTCATCCTGTCTTTCTGAGTTTGAGTAGCAGCAATTGAAATACATGTACAAAACGCAATGAAAGAATGAGCGTAGTCACCTCTGCTGCTACCCATCCAAACTAACTGTCTCAATTAAGGAAACATTTACCCCTATGACATGGCAAAATAGTAGCTAGTAGCGTTGCCTTATACCCACTTTGTTCTTATAGTTCCCATTTTCTTGAAAAAAACAATGGTTTTCTGGCATGTTCTAGACTCCAAAAGGTTGCTTTTTCCAGGGTCACAAAGAATGAATTTGTCACTGGACAAGACATATTTTTATTTTCAGCTCCCACACACATGCAGTTGGAAAGGCAAGATTGAGACTGTGTGTGGTTTTAAATTTCACTCATTCCAAGTGAATAGTGGTTTTCTCATTCCTCATCTGAAGAGGATGACCCTCAGGTGCATAATGCCGTGGAATCCTTGCTCCAGGGCTCTACAGGGAAAGCTCAGTGTCATCATCCTACACTTGTACGCAAATTCTGTAGTCTGACCATACTGGACAATGTAAATAAAACTTTATGATCATTACAGAGGAGGACCATACTGCTCCACGTCTCTTTGCTTTTCCTATGGGAAAGTTTAATAATCTGTCAGATGCAATCTATTCCACAGTGTCAGCGTCTTGCTCTTCTACAGAAAAAAATTAACATCTTTTGGGACAAGTGTAATGAAGCACCTGTTCAGTGCCTGGTAACAGCCAAGCCAGTAGAGTTCAGTTCTCATGAGGAACTGGAGGAAGCACAGTTGGTCAGTAGTGAAATAGAACAATTTTCTAAAATCAGCCATGTTTTCACCTTCAACTCCCTGCCCTGCTTGGATTATCCAGATGGAAGGGTGACAGAAATTATTTGCAGCATTCTGTGTTGTTGCAGAGAGACAGACAAAAATATTTAGTTGTGTTTAGAGGACTGGATTTGTTGGAGGAAGGAAAAGCATAGGAAGATTAACCCACTTAAGCATTTGTTTTTGATGCAAAATCACACTCAAATTAAAGGTGTCCTTTTAAATGTCTTGGAGGAACCACACCTTACACAGCAGAGTTAACGTGTGGAACTCACTGACAGAAAATACTAACAGTGTTCTTTGGGAAAGATTGGTCATTTATAGCAAGAACAAGGTAATTGCCCATGATTTATACTGTGAAAAGTTTAATTTCATATTTTTCAGATAGGGCATATAGTCTGAGCTGTGAGATCCTCCGTAATGAGTTATTTTTCAAACAGTTACTTTCAATTTGTCAATACATCTCTGTTACAGGAATGTTTGATGTTTGAAACAGATGGTATGGATGATGCTAGAGATATTAAAAGTACCAGTAAGGTAATATGGAACACAGAACTGCATTCTTATATGTAACCTGTCTTCCTTACAAAGGAAAAAATGGGCTACTTTAAACTCACTCCTTCCCTTTTCTAAATAAAAAGTAGATGAAATATTTTAAATAAATATTTATATGTAAAGGTTGTCTTTTGTAAAGTTCTTGTTGCCTTTGTTCTTGAAAACAAGACTATAATTTTCCCATATTTTGTAACTAATTTAACTATGAAGGAGTTAAATGACATCAAGTCATAGACATCAAATGTAAATATTGTACCTTCATTCAGAAGACACGCTCATTGATCACTACCAATATTATTAACCTATGGAATTCCAGTTCTGCTTTCCAACACTTTATCTGTAGACCAGCATGAAAATAAAAATATTAAATTAGATAATAAGGTGTAACATCTTTCCCTGCTGTCCTTCTAATACCAAATTTTTCTTCCTCCTTCTGCTTTTTGAAAAATATTTCTACCCTGATTTTTAATGTTTCCCCTTGATCCTTAGCCATCCATGATTCCTTGATGAAGTCTAATTTTACCAGCATTTTGTGCAGTAACTTTTGCTGAGTTTTATTAACCAGAAGTGTACTTTGATCTTTTCTTTACATGTCCATACTTCTCAACATCAAACAGCAAAAATCCTGGAAGCCCTAGCAGTAAAAGAAAAAAAAAAAAAAAAAGAAAAGAAAAAAAGTGTTTTAAACTACCATTGAAATTCACGGGGCAAATTCAGTTTTTACTTGTGACATTATGAGAAATGAAAACCTTCAGAGCCTAAAGACAACTGAGATAGGGTAGGAGATAATGTCAGTGATACCTGTTGTGGTTATTAGGAGACGGGGGAAAGGATCAGATGCTACATAAACAAGAACCCCCTGAGCAACAGTGAAACAAAACTGCCAGAGACGGGCTGAGGGAAATTAGTGAGTATATCCACCCATTCTGATCCTTAATCTAGAAATGTTTGTTTTTTTTCAGTAAGGACACAGCTCTATAAAGGGATCTGTGTAGGGATCCAGTCACATAAATATGATCTCAAGGTTTTTTTTCAAGTGTTTCACTCAGCATAAAAAAATGTCGTTCTTATATCTAGTTTTAAATAATGCTCTTGAA